GGGGGGATTAATGGTCTTAAGGGCTACCCACCTCAGCATCCTTCAGGACCACCTGGTCTCTGTCCCCAGAATGGAGGTGGTTTTATTCATCTAGTTCTTACTGAATTCAACCCCCTCAAGAGGCTGGTAGTTTGGTTAGCACACATAGATGCCAGGCCATGTGAAGGTGGCATGCTGGAAGCCTGCCTACTCTGAATGGCAAGGGAAGGGCTAAGAGGCCGTTTAGGGTTGCGAGACCAGGAGCCAGGAAGATGGACCCCTGCCAGGGTTACCCAGGAGATGGGGAGGGCTTGTGGTGCTCATGGAGGGCTGAGGGCCAAGCAAACACCAGTGTCCCTGGGATTAGTCTGAGGGGTCGCCGGAAGTGAGATGGTGTTGAACCGGGTCTTGGGTGGAATGTCAGACATGGGATGCCTCACGCACGCTACCCGAGTGGAGAGGGGCCTGGGAGCACTGGGGACAAGCAGGCCTGATTTGTGTCCTTGAGGTGTGCCATGGAAAGGGTTTGAGTTCTAGCAGCAGCCATGGTGAATGAAGCAGGTAGGGGAACACAATGGAGAGAAAGTATGTGGAAGAAGTTGCTTAAAATTGGTGACATTTGGCTAAGAAATCATCGAGAACATGCCTTCAGGTGTTGTTTGGGAAATGGCAGCAGAGACGCCCCCTGTGTGGTGGCCTTCGCACTGTGGGTGTCCGTCCTCGTTGAGCACCTGCCGCTGTCCAGGGAGCACGCACACTGGGGCTGGTGGCTCCTCTGGGTTGGTTTTGGTTTTCTAGGAGGGTCTATGGTCAGTTTCTATAGGAATTTTCACAGAGATGTTTGGAGATCACAGGGGCTCTCAGGATGGCCCAGAACGAAAACTGAAGCCAACAAGTGGTTACTTTTGAATCAAAGGTTCTTTGCAGCCAAGACTTCTACTCCCACGTTTCAAGGCCTGCTTCTCTCCAGGTTGGGTGGTGAGCATGACTGAATGTCAGCTCTGTTCTCATTGCCCGATGTGTGAGGATTCTGACGACTGTAAACCAAATGCGTGTTGAGCCCCGCCCTGCAGGGCATTGTGCTGAAGGCCAGGCCTTTCTGTAGTGGGAGGGACGCAGATGAACCTAGGGCTCAGAAAGACAAGGCCTGTGAAACAAATGTAACCAACTGCACACAGGCCAGGGCGCGGTGTCCCCACAACGTCTGTCTGAGAGCTTGCGGGTCAAAACTGCCTGTTGTGGTCCTGCCCTTTCTGACATGCAGAGCCCTGTTTGTCCCCTAGATGTACAGCCGCGGCATCGAGCTGGCTTGCCAAAAGCAGAAAGAGTTCGTGAAGAGTTCTGTGGCGTGCAAGTGGAACCTGGCGGAAGCACAGCAGAAACTGGGCAGCCTAGCACTGCATAACTCGGAGTCCTTGGACCAGGAGCGTGCCCGGGTGCAGACGGCGGTCTCGGAGCTGAGGCAGCGGGAGGAGCAGTGGCGGCAGAAGGAGGCGGCGCTCGTGCAGAGAGAGCGCACGTGTCTGTGGAGCACGGACGCCATCAGCAAGGATGTCTTCAATAAGGTACGGCCTTCTGCGTGCCACAGGGAACATGCGGTGAGGTGCGGGACACTTGGCACTGTGCAGAGCAGGCACGCACACTCAGCAGAGTGACAGAACCCTCTCTTCGTGGAAGGTGTCGGGTCTTGATGGGGTTTTATGGGTCTTGATGGGGTTTTATGAAGCGTGCTTGTGATGGAGACCGGTGTCGCTGGGAGGCTCTAATGTGGCTAGTACTTAATCCAAGTACCTCTTCCCCTCCTCCCCCTCACTTGTCAACTGTCTCCCCTTAATGACAACAGCGAAACCTCCACTTGTGCGGTAGTGGTGGGCCTGGTAGCCATAGGAAGCTGGGCCACATTGCCCTGTGCACTGGCTCCCTCTTACCCAGCTGCCACATGGAACTGGCCTCCTGGGACTATGGTCTCCCAGCACACACTCAGGCCACCTGAGCCTGTGGGGATCCGCAATTGCTGGGGTGCATATGAGAGGGTGCTGGGAAGCAGTGCGTGTGAATGTAGTGGTGTTGGACAGTCCTGGAGCCTCATCCGTAGCAAGCCAGGGCTCAGCCAGACCCCCTGTCTTTAACACCTCCAGGGAAGCCCTGAGCCGCCTGGAGAGTGAATGCAGAGGGGAGGGCAGCGCCCTGGAAGCTGAAGCAGGTAGCTGAGTTGCCCTTAGCCCAGTTGCACACAGCCCAGCTTTGTCCAGCCAAGTCTCCTAGCCATGCTTTCGCACGCACAAGGTCCACAAGTGGACTCGTCCTGGGAACCCTGGTAGCCCTTCAAATCCACTGGTCACCCGTCAAGAACGGTAGTCTGGCTGAGCCAGGTCTTCCTGATGGCAGGCAGGCGGGTGGTGGGTGGGTTGGACTTGTCACTATGGTGACCATGTCGGTAACTCAGCTGTGATTGCTCCTGTGGTCATGGTTTCAGGGGAAAAAGCAGACACGCATGGTTTGAAAACGGGAAACAAATCATTTCCCATAAGAACCTGGCCTTTGGAACCTGATGGTGTCAATGATAAGTAAGGAGTGGGTGCTTGTGGCGACAGCCTTACTCAAGACTGGGCTTCCTCACTCGCTGGCTTTGTGACCTTGGGCAAGTCATCGGCATCTTGAAGCCTCCAGGATAAATCAGAAGTCGTTATCCGTCCCTTTTGCCACCGGCTGGGTGTGAAGATTGGATTGGTGAATGTTGTAAAAGCGTGTGGGAGGGGCTGGCTGTGGCACCCGAGTGCTGGCTGATGTCCTGTGCCGGCAGCACAGTTTTGTTAGCAGGGACCCTCAGGTAGTACTGGACCTAGTGGTACACGAGTTAGCACTGAAAAGGCTTTCAGAAATTACTTAGTCCCTTTTGCCTCTAAGGAGCATCGTGGGTTACAAATTGGGCTGCTCACCAAAAGGTGAGCAGTTCGAAACCACCAATCCTCTGAACCTAGTAGCTGGACATGTACTGAGTGCAGTGTCTCCACACCGGGTCCCCTGTGACCTGGCGTGGCTGAAACTATCTGCCGTATTCCCAGTTGCTTTTGCAGCATTAGAGTAGAAGACAGAGTGTGTCCACTTGGAAAAGGTCAGTATGGTACTGTGGCGCTCATGTTTAGGGACAGTTTGTGTCTTAGGACAGGGGTCTTGAGGACCCTGCTGCCAGGAGGCCTTTCAGAATCCACAGTTGAACAGCGTCGTGTCC